GCCCACACGAGAAACCGGGAAGTGCGGGGGCAGCCGGACAGGCTTCCCCCATTCAGCTGCGCCTGAAACTGCCCAGCAGCTGAATCGGGGAAGCCGGGAGCAGAGCAGCTGGGGTGCTGCCGGGTTGGTCCCGCAGCCCAGAGGGGCAGTGCTACGAGACCGACCAGGCAGCACCCCAGCTGTTCTGCTCCTGGCTTGCCCGATTCAGCTGCTGGTCAGTTTCAGCAGCAGCTGAATGGGGGAAGCCTGTCCAGCTGCCCCAGCACTTCCGGGTTCCTGATGGTGCTGGACCATCAGGAGTCCCGGAGCATTGGATGCCGGACTAATGGAGTTTTACTGTATTTTGTTTAATTACTCAAGTGTGTAACAAAATAATATGACACCATCGAAAAAGTACTCTAGAGTTTACTGTTTTTGTAGGCTGAGAAACCAAACAAATATGTGTAAAATGCATAAACCTCTGCATTTGGCTTGGAGGTGCTAAAAGTGCAAAACTTGGCAAAATTGACCAAAGTTTTAGCTTTGTAATGGAATATAGAATTGGGCAAGCTGTAACTGATAAGTGGTTTTATTATGAATAGTTATGGTTCGCTGGCCAGCAAAACAACCTTGAGGTTAGAGTAAGCGCACCCTTATTTTTGTTTTTCCCCCAGGGATCCATTCACTATACAAAAACATACTATCAACTAGGTAAAAATTCATTTGAACCTTTTTTTTTCTTTGTCCTTCTCCTTTGTTTAAACTCATTTACTTAGGCAAATTCATGAAGGAGGTCAGTGTGACATATCTTCACATTTCACCTCTCTGTGCTGTACAAGATCAAGAGGTTACCAGCAAAGAAGCCAGTCCAGCTCTGACTGTTTTTTGGAGGCTCTGATACCCTGAACTGATAAAAAGATTAGAGTCAGAGGTCCAGGCCATTAAGCCTAATGACTGACTAAACCACCAAGCTACATCTGCTCTTTTATCCAGCACTAAAGAGACAATGCCTAAATCCTCACTCTTGTATCTGGCCCTAATAAAATCAGAGGGATGCCTTGTGTAAATAAGATGACCAATATGAAAAGATTTGAATGTACACTTGCATATTGGAATCGTTAAGAGATTATTATTGACTCTAATAGGCCTGCCTGTGGGCATGACCCTGCAACCATTCAAATGCATTGCAAAATTCCCTTTGACTTCAGTGGTGTAGAATCTGGTCCTGTATGAGTAAGGTAAGGACTTGGCCCCTTCTCAGGCCTGCAGCTGCACAAAGCTCTCAGGTGTACTGGAAAGTTTCACATTTCAGTCTCCAGTTCCAAGTGAGACAGTGAGTTGCTCTGTAGGTGAATGAGACTTGAAGTATCTTTTAATGTAAGGGAGTGGTAACTGAGTTGTAAGTTAGCAGACCAGGAGGTCTAGTCTTCCCATCTTCTGTGTTGTTTTTTGTTGTTTGTTTGGTTTTTTTTGTGGCAGAGTCAACAGGAAAGCGTCTGCCATTGACTCACTGTAGTAAAGACACCGTTATTCATGTTGCTGAAGATGCATAACTTAGATTGATGGCCTCTGGTATTATAGACCAAGCCTTCATCTTGCTCCCTTTTATAATGTTCCAAATTCATGGGCTCGGTTATCCTGTTACCAGGGGTGATTGGTGAGGAAAGACTGGGGGTGGGTTAGTCTTGCAGGCTGACCAGAGACTCTGGCCTCTTGCTCTGTGTACCCATGACGTTGGCGAGGGGCATGTGGCACATTTGCACTCCTCACGCGTTGCCAGTGCCTGTCACTAACCACTGCTCTAAGAGCTAGATCACATTCTTCTCCCAGAGCCAGGGACAGAACTCATAAATCCTGATTTTAAACATTCTGCTACGGTCTAACAGAGTTATTTAACACACTGGCAGAGTGTGTATCACATCCCAGAACAGGGATTGGTTCACATACTCCTTCGCTAGAACAGCCTGTGCTAGGGTTTTGAAAATCCTGGGTTCAGACATTTCTGGTGGCTTGTGGAGGTCCTTATGACTGCATGATTGAATGTCTTTCCAGTTTTCTTCTTGGAAAACATTGATTTATTTAATTCCTTCAGTGAGAGAATGCCCTTAAAAATAGGCTTTATATTTAAAACACCATAAATTCTGCCATGGTGAGCAACAAACTCCAGTGTTCCATATTTTGGTCACTGGCCACATCTCAATAGCTTGTGTCAAGCAGTGAGTAGGTTTCAAGATTGTGAAGCAATAATTTAAAAATATTTGCATAGATCTTACTGAAAATATTCCAGAGATTGACTGAAACTGGCTGTCAAATCCTCTTCTCCAGATTGTTGTGCAAAGTTGAGAATATGTAGTCTTCAGTGTGTAAGGCCCTGGATAGATCTTGAAATAAAGGCTTTAATCCAGTACCATGAGGCTGTGAATGCTTGTGAGAGATTAGTGAGCTGGTCACATTCCAAAGAAGAGAAGGGAGGTGGCAGGCCAGTTCAATTCTGGGGCGGGAGTGTGACCACATGGTATCAGCCTCAATGCTGGCTTGCTCCAACCTATGCACTGCTGTTTCCTCCTATCCAGCTGGTAAAGATTGGGGGATGGAGCTGACAATACAATGATTTGGTGCTTGGGCGTGCTCCATGGTGGCACCTGGTAGGCCTTAGGGAAGACTGAACAGGAGCTGAGATTGAGATCTGTCCCTTCATTGTAGTCAGCACAATAGCCTGTGCCACCGCTACTGCTTGGAACACAAGTAGATGCGTGAGGGTTATCTACACAAGTAGATGGTGAGGAAATAGATTCTGGCTTCAGTTCCTCGTCAGCTGGCACTTTAGTATCTCCTGTGGTTTGCTAGGGAGTACGGACCATCCTCTCTCTAAGTCCAAGATATTTTCCAAAAAACTTGGACTTATAGCGAAACTAAAGTAGGAATTTTTTTTCCCCGCAGCTGACTTCCATTTGCGCAAATTGGGGTTGGTTTTTTGCGTGACTTAAAAGCAGGGAATGGGAGGACTTACAACGTATCAGTTCCTACAAACATCAATGACTTTAGTGCAGAACAGGTGTATACCGGGGTGACTTACAGTGGGGATGCCCTATAATAAGAATGAGAGCAGGTCCTCCCAACTTAAAGTATAGTGTTATGCCTTCCTGCTAGCCATAGGATATGTCTAGACTTCTCTCTGTCGCCAGAAGGATGTAAATTAGACATACCAACATTGCAAATGAAGCGGGGATTTAAATCTCCCGCACTTCATTTGAATAAAAATGGCCACTGCGTTTTGCTGAGTCAGCAGTTTGTGGGCAAAAAGCGGCTGTCAAGACGGGGATTGGGCGACAAAGAAAGCCTTTGTCGGCCGGTCCTGTAAACCTCATTTTACGAGGTATAAGGGATCAGCCGACAAAGGCTTTCTTTGTCGCCCGATCCCGGTCTTGACGGACGCTTTTTTGCCGACAAACTGCTGACTCAGCAAAACGCGGTGGCCATTTTTATTCGAATGAAGTGTGGGAGATTTAAATCCCTGCTTTATATGCAATGTCGGTATGTCTAATTTACATCCCTCTAGCAACAGAGGGATATAGTCTAGACATATCCATACTGTCAGCTGGGACACAGATAAACTGGAATCAACTCATTGAAGAGCTAAGAAAGTTAAAGTTTAGGTCTAGAAGTTCGTCAGACTTGACATTTTATCCTAATAATATTAATCAAAATACAAAATCAACATCAAAAGGAAAAATCCAGATGCATGTGTAGTAATGAAGATCTATTTACTTGTATATAAAGCATGAGAGTGGTAATGGGGCCCTGTCGTTGCTATCTGAGATTGCATATAAG